AGCAGTAGTAGTATGGCTCAAGTACCAGGTACAGAGCAGAAACTCAGCTCCACCTTCTAGCCTAGTTTGAAGCCAGTAGAGGAATAAGCTGAAAGAGTAAACAAACAGGAATCCCAGAACAAAGGGAAACCTGCATCTAGTCTCCCAGGTCACAAACTTGCAGAGTTTAGACCAGGGATGCAAGGATCAGATCTACCCTGGATCATACAATACTCCAAGAAAGCTGCAACAGGACTGGCCCGGACCTTCTCTCTAGAAATGTGCATGTATATGGCCCTGACATTAAATCAAAGTCAGAAAGTGGGTTGGAAGCATGAGTAATCAAAAAAAAAAAAAAAAAGAATCCCAATATAACAGGTTATTATGGCAATGGGGACACTCTGGACACAAACCCAGAAAAAAAGAGAATGACTAATGCATCTATAAGGAAAGCTTAAAAGAAAAACATAACTTGGACATAAATTCAACTAGAATTCCTGGAAGACATGAAGCAAGAATTTAAAAGAAGCAGTTAAAAAATGTTGGTTTTTTTTTTAAATAAATGAGAGCACGAGAGGAGAAATTAAAATAAGAAGTGAGAACTTTGGAAGAAAGAACTGGAAGGGGACTTAACAGCTTAGCACAAAAGGTACAAAATCTTGCCCCAGCAAAAAACTCCCTAATAATTAGAATGTACCAAAGAGAAAGCCCACAGCTTTATGAAACAACAAGAAATATTAAAACAAACTTTAACAAAATAGATGAAAATATAAGGTATCTCATAGCAAAAACATTATATCTAAAGGATTCTGGGAAGATGGTAGAGTAGGTAAAAAAATTCCAAGCTCTCAAGATTTTCTCCCACAAAAGAGTTAAAATAGTGCCTCAAGGCAAACACAGAATGGTAAAAATAAATAAGAGTAGGGGCAGAACAGGGGTCCTTCTGGGACAATCCAAGAAGATCTGAAGAAAAATTCCATGGCAAGATTTGGTTCCTGTGAAGAGTAAACACCTTCAGGCTAGATTCACTTAAACAACAAGCTTGCAAGCCCTGGGGTTAGCTGCGTTGGGAGGCTACCTCCTCTCCAGCCACAGGAACTTTTACCTGGACAGTGAGAAGAGTTGGACATCTAAACTAGGAAGATTGAGGGAACCTCTGTTGACTGCTGGGGAAATGTGGGATGAGAAGAAACCAGCATACGCCTGGTGAGTACAGAAGCAGTGGAGCAGATATGCTGCTGGCTGTGGGCATTTAGCGAGGCTGGAGGTAGAGGGGAAAACTGACAGAAGATCTGAAGCCAGAGGCACCATCCTCCATACCCCAGGACTAGAAGTGATTACAAAAACTAAGTTACTACAAATTTTAAAAAAATGCACAGGGAAAAGAGAAAGAATCCAAACATAGAGAGTTACTATGGGAATTAGAGAAGACTGGAGTTTGTCTTCAGAGGCAGATACTGAAGTAAAGAAAACCTCTTCTGCCCCAAAGAGTGATGTTAAATGGTCACCTGCCCAAAAAGAATTCATAGAAAAACTTAAAAAAGACTTAAAAATCAAATGAGAGAGTTTGAGGAAAAACAGAACCAAAAAAAACAAAAAAACAAAAAAAAGAACAATACAAGAAAAACAAAAAGATTATGAAAAGAAAGTAAACCAATTAGAAAAGGAGATCAAGAATCTTAAGGAAGAAAATGACTCCTTAAAAATCAGAAATGGGCAAGGGGAAGCCAGCAAAGTTATGAGATAAAGAAATAATAAAATATAAAGAATGAAAAAATAGAAGAGAATGTGAAATATCTCATAAGAAAAACAACTGATCTGGAGAATAGATCAAGAAGAGAAAATATAAGAATAATCAGACTGTCTGAAAGCTGTGATCAAAAAATCTTGATAGAATAATACAAGAAATAATTAAATTATCCTGAAGATTAAAACAAGACAGGAAAGTAGAAATAAAAAAAAATCCAGTGATCACCACCTTAAAGAGATCCTATCAGGAAAACCTACTAGAATATTATGAATATACTAGAATATTATGGTCAAATTCTGAAACTCCCAGCTCAAGGATAAAATATTATGAACAACAAGAAAAAAATAATTTAAATATGGCAGTACCACAGTTAGAATCACATAAGACTTAGCAGTGGTGACATTAAAAGACTGGGTTCTTGCCAAAAATATCATATCCAGCAAATGGATGAAATGAAAAAATGAAATCCTGAATGAAAAAAAAAATGGACATTTAATGAATTGTCAGACTGTCAGGATTTCGTTTAAAAAAAACCAAACCTGAACTTAATAGAAAATTTGACATACAAGAGCCAAGAGAAATATACGGTACATACCAAAAACTGATTACAGGGGACTCAATAAGGACAGACTGTTTACCTTTTATGTATGTAAAATGTAAAACGTATGCCTAAGGTTGTTACTAGTAATTGGGTAGTTCATAAGAAAGATTGGGGTAGACCTGAGTATGACATGATTTTAAAAAGTAAAACTGTTTAGGAGCAGTTAAAAGAGTAATTATCTTATACAAATGTGATGCAGAGGAAGAACTGACACAGACGGAATTAGATGGGAAAGAGGGCTCTTCGTTCTGGAAACCTACTTTCATTGGAAATGGGTTCAAGAGGGAACAATACATACATACATACATATATCTTTCTGTCTATCTGTTTTTCTATATATATAGAAGAGTATAAAAATCTTCTAAATTCAGAAAAATAAAATGCTAAAAGAATAGGGAAGGGGGAGAGGATAAGGGAAGGATCTTTAGAGAGGAGGATGAGGGAATAGGTGAAAGGGGGGTATAGAAGGGTGTTTAGATTTATGGGAATGGGAAGATAAGGGAAGGATCCTCAAGGCGGGGGTAGGTTAAATAATAGGAGGGTAAGATAGTGGGTTGAAGTAAAGTAGAGGAGTCAGGAGGGATAGGAAATAATACGTACAGACATAAAAACAGAGCAGGAGTAGGATTTGTTAGGGAAAGTATATGTTTATGTATGTGTGTATATGTGTATGTATATATCTATATACAAATATATCCATGCTTAATCATAGCCTTGGGGTGGGGGGGAAGAACAAAGTAAAAAGTGCACAGCAAAGAACAAAAGGAAATTTACAAGGAAGCAAAGAAAAGATGGACAGCTCTCAACACAACATGAAGTATTTATTACATATATTTTCTTGAAACGGAAATTTATAGCTATGCATTTTGAATCCTCTCTTTATGTTCTGCTGTGCACATGAAATTTTTATATTTCAGTTTATGTTCCTTTTTCTTTTCTTATTGTGTATTTAAGTTTTAGTATTTAAGGAAAAATGTTTTAAAAAATTTAAAAATTATGATGAGAAATTAAAAAATAAACAGCATATATAGACAACAGATCAAAAAAATAAAATAAAATTAAGCATCCTTGAACTACCTGAAATCCATGACCCAAAAAAGAACCTAGACATTATATTTCAAGAAATCTTGAACAAAAACTGCACCAGAGGATAAAGCGAAAATGGAATGAATCACCTCCTGAAAGAAACACCAAAATAAAAACTCCTAGGAACATTATAGTCAAAATCAAGTTTCCAGGCCAAAGAAAAAATATTGCATGCAGCCAGAAAGAAAGAATTTAGTTACTGAGAAGCTGCAGTCAGGTTCACCCACGATTTAGCAGTCACTGTTAGAAAAGAGCAAAGAACTTGTAAGAATGAAAGAAGGATAATATAGGCTTACAAGCAAGAATAACTTGCACAGCAAAACTGATTATATTACTACAGGGGGAAAAATGAATCTTTAGTGCAGTAGAGGACTTCCAGACATTCCTGATGAAAAGGCAAGAGCTGAGTAGAAACTCTGAAGTTCAAACACACAAGTTAAGAGAAACATAAAGTGAAAAAGAATGGACTAAAGAAAGATGAACTGTTTATATTCAAATATGAGGAAGTGATACATGTGTTCCTTCTGAACCCTGTCATCATTAGGGGAAATAGAAAGAATCTATTTAGACAGAATGTAAACAATAACAAACAAGGATTAACTACTTACATGCTAACATGGGGATATAACAAGTGTCCCCTCTGAAACTTGTCATCTTTAGGGGTCATAGAGAAAGCCTAATTAGACAGAATGCCTGTGAATGCTTGTTACATCTTGCTGATTTTAAAAGCAAGAATAGAAAGAGAGGAAAAGGAATGTATTAGGATTTTATTTTTCTTTCATTCTCAATTATGGGATGGGATGGGGGAAGGCATGTTTTTGCTGACTGAAAAAATAAAATTTAAAAGAAGGTTGGCCACCGCAAGATGATTTGTAGGATAAAGGAGGCTAGGCTACCATGACTTTGAAAACTATATAGTAAGGCGTAGAGGGTTTATGATTTCCTATTAATGAAAGGTGTACCCCCATCAATGAAATTATGGATCTTTAGCATTAATATCCACTTATTTTGGCACCATATGCTTGTTTATAATGATACTTTCCTGCACCTATTTCTTGTTATCCCAACTTGACTACAAGCTCCTAGAGGGTAAGAACCAGCTTTTGCTTTTTCCACTCAGTGCCTTACTAAGTAAGGGCACATAAGAAGTATATAATAAATATTTACTGCTTTACTGAGAGAATTGGAATTTTATATCAGATTTTGATTCTTTAAGTAGCCTGTTTAGTGATCCATTTTTATATAGAGAATTTTGTTATAAATTTTCTTATAATATGAAGTTGTATTACTTCATTTCTCCATTCCTTCCAAATTCTCCCTTAAATATTCCACCCTACCAAGCATATAGCTTAAAAAAAATCTATTGATACATAGGAAGACAAGCAAAAGAGAGATGTAGGTTGTGCTTTAGCCCTGTACAAAAATCAGGAAGAATGCTGCTCCCTTGCTTGACTGATTTCAGAATAAATAGTTCTTTAATGGATTGGATTGCCCCAACATTCTTGATTTAGGATCTGTTGCAGCAAGTGGCAGTTCTGACACCAGGAACATATGTGAAGTAAATTAAATTAAATTGTATTGCAGGATCCAGCCAGTCCGCTCTGACCCAGTCAGCATGCCAGGGTCGTCTCGTCCAGTCTCAGATCGAAGGGGAGTTTCTACAGTGATCGATGCTGCCTCAGGTAGAAAACCATTCCCTATGTTTGAGTTGATGCCCTATTAGTTCTGTTCAGTTTTGGTTGTTTACTGGTACAGTGTGATAATGTTTTCTCTTCCCTTTTTTGTATTTTTAAACAATACTCCATCCTTCCTGTGTTGCTAAACATTGCCATACATTTAAACATTCTTAAAGTTGGTGAGTGGTACAGTAGAGTTGGCACTTGATTAAATGTAATGAACACAATATTGAAGGCTATAATGTTGATGACTTATTTTGCCTTTGATCACTTGAATGAGAATCAGCAGGCTTGACATATAACATAAATACGATATATGGGTTCAGTTTACTCAACTTGTTGAGTATCAAAGTGCCTGATGTATGGAACCAGAGAGAGCCCAAATGCTCTAGCTTAAATGCCTTTATTATTGAAAGCATAACGTTTAGAAATTCATTACTTTAACTATATTCTCTCTATCAGAGTTATTAACTCCCTACAATATGCATCATTAGGGTCTTGGAGCAAGCATTTAGGCCTTTGTAGGTGACATTAGTTATCTTTCTTTTAGGTAGAACTTTTCAGGCATGGCTACTGAAAAAAAATAGAATTGTATGTTGATTTCAGTAATAGATTTCTCCTCTCTCCAAATTGAGAGACACAATGTTTGTACAAAAAACAGGGACCTTGATATTTTATATTCTGATGCAGATGTGGAGCATCTGAAGATTGCCCATAGCAGGGTTTTGTTAAATAAAATCTCTCACAAGTAGAATTATTAAATATACAACATTAGTCAAACAGTTGAGTCAGAGGGGATTTTAATCTGTAGTGATTTTAGAATCCCTAGTGACTACTGATTGGATTGAAGCTTAAACTGTAAGTGAAAACGATAACAGAACCGGATTTCTGAAGCTCATTTTTTAGAGTGATGGGTGTTGGGCTCCTGTTTCTAACTGATTTCTATACTTAGATTCTGAAATTTGAAGCCTGCCAGTTTTCCTAGGTTTGTTTAGGTTACTTAAGCAGTTAGATCTCATAATTGCCTTATTTAAGTACCCATAACCAGACTTTCACCTCACTTCCTTTATAAATCTTTATTTTGAGGGGCTTCAAACTTGTCTCCTTAGTTTGAACTTGGCAACCAGGACTGACTCCTGGGAGCAAGAAAATTTATATACATCTATCTCTGCCTTTCTGCTGTGGAATATGTGTGATATGATTTTTTTTAAAAAAGATAATCTCTTAGATCATTTCTTGGTGTGAGTATACTAATGAAAGGCTTCTGCTACTCTGAGGTTCTCATTTACTACTATGCATCTTGGAAATTAGGTATTTTCATCTAAAATATTTTGTCTCATGTCTACAGGTTTAATTTGTTGGTGTTTTTTACATTTTAAAACAATCAGGTTATTAGTATTTTTAGAGGAAAGTAGCTACTGAGAATGAGCAAGAACATGGCCCTGAGCTATTTACCATAATGAAGGTAGCTGCTGCCAGAATTACATGTTGAGGTGATATTTCTTCCTCATTTACCATTGTAGCACCAACTCTGTTTTAGTTCCTAACCGATTAATGGCAGGCAGTATGCAAAGACTGAATGAACTATTGTAGGCACCCTTTTGCTTAACTTTAAGAGAAAGTTTAGTTTTAGATTGACTTTTTCTTGCCTTCTCAGTTGTTGTGAAGATCAAATGAGATGTTTGTAAAGAGCTTAACATAGTCTCTGGAACATAGTAGGTGCTTAATAAACACATATTTTCTTCCTTTCTTCCTTCCTACTGTTCCACCAAATTGTGGTCACAGGCATGTTTAAGATGTTTCTTTACATCTCCAATCCTCAACCTGAATGGGCCTGCCTGATGTTTACTTGGGAAAGACCACTTCAGTAGTTGGACTTCTACCCTTTCCCAAATCCCTTCAAATTAAAGCAGGCAGGCACTGCAGTAGGACTGACTGATTTACTAATTTCAAGACAGTAAGACACATGTGTGTACTCAAGCAACCTTGGAAAGGGACAAACCAGAAATGAGTGCCTGGACTTTGAACAAAAAGCCACTCCCTATGTCACCTCAGAGGAGCTTTTCTGGATACTGTGTGGCTGTGGAGCAAATCACGTTACACCTGGTTTTGAAATGGATGGTTGTGTTTTATTGTCGGCAAAGCTTCATCTATTTGATCTAAGGAGAACACCATGACTGTAACTGGCTTGATTTTCTCCTGGTGTTTGTAAGATAGGATGGTTTAGTTTCTTTATGAAAACAAGTTTATTGGAAAATACCTTTTTAGGTTTTTCCTTTAAAAGGAGGCAATAAATTTTTATCACCACTCCTGAACCAGTAAGTCCTTCACTGGGTCTGACCCATGTGTGCATTGGAGGCTGCTGTGCTTCATGAAGATTCTTATCTTGCTGTTTGATGGCTGATTGCTTAGAGGTTGGGCTGCTGTGGCGCCTCCTCTTATCAGGCAACATCACTTTGTCTTACCTTCAGACGATTTATGAGACCACGTTTATCATCTTTTTAATTGTTCTTGTGGCACATTTTATAACTCTCCACCATTGTGGTCACAACTCTTTCTGTGTGTGTCCAACCTGGTGGTGGTATAAACCTATTTAATATGATTACTTTTCAGTCATAGAGACTAAAACCTAGTGTCAAATAGCTCTAAAGTCTTTGTTCCAGGAATTCACAAAATAATTCTTACTTTAGTTATTGTTGTACCTAATAAGTTCTTAGCCCTGAGTTTTCTTTTGGAGACATTTAGGAAAATTTTAATGTTATGTTCTTGGTGCTGAAAGAATAAAGAGACATAATACAGTGCAGTGGTCTCCACTAAAAAATTCCTGAAAATTAATTTCACAATTTACTGTCTGTCTTGAGTTATGATTCATTCTTTTCCAGAGACATTCTTTTGGAAATTAAAAAAAAATTAACTCTAGTAATCCTGGCAAAGAGTAAATTCTGTACGTTAAGATAAAAGTCATAGACTTATCATCACCTCTCTGTGTGTTTTGTGGGATGTGTATAATTTAGACCCAACAAGAAAGCGATAATTGAACGTTGTTGAAATTTAAAGATTGAACTGTGTTCAGAGAATCACAGAATCACAGAGTTAGAAAGGACCACATAGGCCAACTAAGACCAATCTGTGTGTTAACAACAGTCCCTTCTATAACATCCATATAAAATGGACTTCTAATCTCTTGAAGATTTCCAGTGATGGAGAATATAAGGATTTTTTTCCTTATATACAAATTATCTCCACTTCCCTGCTACTACTAAAACCCATGCATTTTATAGGTATTATTAGTACTCTTTCCAATAGGTGGAACCAGCCATGAATGCTGAAAAAATAGAACCGTGTGTCAGTTTTTAGTATTAGAGCAAACAAAATAAGTGTAATGTCTCTTCCGCTTGAAATTGCTTCAGATATTTGAAGACCACTGTCATGGTTCCCCCTAAGTCTTCTCTAGGCTAAAGATATCTAGTTTCTGCAACTGATCCTCATATGGCACAATCTTGAATTTCCTTGATTCCCTGGTTGCTTTCCTGGATAGTTTACATTTTGTCAATGGACATCGTGAATTCTGGTACTTAGAACTGAACACAGTGCACCAAATGAGGTCTAACTATTCTGTAGTAGCTATATGATCTTCCTCAGTGAGTTGAAAACTACCGTCTGAAAAGGTTTGGGCTTTTGATAAATGTAACATTTCTTCTTCCTCCCTGTGCTCCAAAGTAGGATCATTTTGAGTATTATTATCTATTAAGAGTCCATTTAATGTGTCCAGATATAGGTTACCAAAAAGAGTTTGGGCTTGAGAGAATTTGTAAATATCCCCACATCTCACTATTTACTCTGTTTGGTCATGGGGAATATTAATAGCAGAAGCAATTTCTACTCCTGCCTTGACTAAATACCATGACTCTCTTCTATGTATCCAAAATGCAAAGCCACTTGAAAATTTATTCTCATAGTTTACACTTTATAGCATGGCATTCAAAATGCATTCCTTTTATTTATTTATTTTTTTAAACCTTTTTTTTTTTTTTTTTTTTTGGTGAGGCAGTTGGGGTTAAGTGACTTGTCCACAGTCACACACCTAGTGAGTATTATGTGTCTGAGACCAGATTTGAACTCAGGTCCTCCTGACCCCAGGGTCAGTGCTCTATCCACTGCACCACCTAGCTGCCCCAATGCATTCCTTTTAAAGAGCAGATTGCTGAGCAGTTAGCAGATGATGTGGTTCTCAGAGGCTTTTTTCATATTCTATTTGCCATATTACTGACTGAGCATACCACTTCCCAGAGCTGTTAGACCAACACTGCTAGGGTACTTGAAGCCCCTGCTTGTATAACCTATGATGAGTCTGAAAAAATCTAGTTGACATCTACCTGAGGACACTTCTCTTGGTTTGTACCTTCACTATAGAGATATCTTCCAGGACAGCATAGAATCAGAAAGCTTCCTACCCCACATAGTAATTTCCTCTCTGACATCCTTAGCAAATGGCCATCTACCCTTTATTTGGACACTTCTAGACCTTCCAAATGATGCTACAACCATTTTCCTCATAGCAAGGGACTTTGTAACTGAGCGGTATGCCAAAGCAATGTTCTTGAGTCTTTGGGAAAAATATCCACAAAATGAAAGATATCCTGTAGATAAAATAAATTGTTGATGATGGTATAAGATGGAAGTAGAAATGAATACAGCTGTGTCAGACAAATAAAATACGTCTCTAGCTATCAGACAGATTCTGGCATGATTATAGTGCAAACCTTAGGAATGGAAATGATTTTCTGGTTCTTGCTAGAAGGAGAAGTTTTGGTACCTCTTTTATGTGTAGAAGTTGACCCAAAAGTAATGATTTTTGAATGAACAAAAATTAATTTCTTTCCCTTTTTTAAAAATTATGGACTTAACAAACATTGACAAACATGAATGTTTTCATATACAAGGCAGGATTATATATGAAACCACAAATCTCTATTTCATATAGCTTATTTTTTAAGTATATGTTA